CCTCCGGAGGAATAACATGCATTACACTTACGGAACTAATGACAGCAGTTAACGCGTCCGGAATCAGTAACAATCAATTAATAGTTGTGTCGTCGAGAAGAATTGATGCTACTGAAGGTTCCGTAGGTAACTCAAATCACATTTCAATTGCTTCACGAAACAAAAAATGCATTTTCAGAGAAATTTCTTACAATCTTCTGGATGGATAAAAATTAAAGAAACCGAATGCCGTTAGAAGACACATCTGTTATCTCGATTGGTGGGTCTGAAGGATTCTGTTATCCACGCACGGTTTTTTGGGCCCTCACTTCGCTAAATAGTCCGCAGTTATTTACTTCGATATTAAAAACTTCAAATTAACTTAATAAATGTGTTGTAGGCGTCTTCTATACGAGGTGGTAGCATAGCTTTCAAATTTACTAATCTGCAGTCAAAGAGATTGTTTATTGTAATAATGAACTAAATACAATTTTTGGAACTCTAGATAATGTTCACACACCCCTCTACAAGTGGATGCTATTCATTGATTTTTCCAAACTAAGTTTGAATGCAGTGCTGATTCATAATGGTAATGTATGTCCCTCAGTTCCAATATTCAATTCAATTCAACAAGAAAGTCTCATGAAAGTATGCGATTGTTACTGGATCACATTAACTATGACCACTACAAAAGGAAGCTGCGTGGAGACCTGAGAGTTAACAGGGCTCCACTTGAAATGCAAGAAGGTTTCACCAAATTATGCTGTATTATCAAATTTGATTTGATGAAATAAATAGTAAATACAAATTACCCTAACTTGAAGCAGTTTTAAAAAGAAATATCCTGGTATATTTTTTATCTGTAAACCAAACAATTCGCTCGTTGATTTGGTACTACTTTTCATATTTAAAGGTTGTAAGTTGTTTATTATTTTGGATATCTTTCGGGATAATCATTTGTAAAGTTCGCACTCTCTTCTTCAATTGGCGAATAAGTTCTATGGTGCACATTAAGTTGAGTTCAAATGTTATATGACCGTGTGTGGCTCTGTTAATTTGGACTCAACACATTCCAACTCTCAAAATTTTAAACCTTTAAATAGATAGGACTCCAGTATCTAAACGAGCTCTCGGCGCTAAGAATTAACAAAAACCATGAAGGTGAGAACTACTACGGAATGTCATAGAATAAGTAATGAATGAACTCGCCGCATGTTCTGAACAACACCGACCGTGAAGCCAACATCGCACAGCCGAGTAGTGTGGTTAGGTGCCTTGCTAATTGCCAGGCGACGAATATTCAGTATTTGACCTCCCCAACGCGCGCCGTTCTTTTGGACACATCAAAGTAAGCAAAGATTAACCGAGCAAATCAGCTGCTCGGGCTTGGACGATTAAAACAAAAAACAATAAAACAATTTACCAACTACATAAAATAATAATTACGTAGAATATATAAAATAGAACTAGAAAAATGATTTTAGTGTAAGTTACTAATGCCAAAGTGCAATTAAGATAACTTTAGGTCTAGATTGTAAGTTAGTTGTAAGAAAAAGCCCCGCCTGTAGCTGCTTAAGCCGCAAGGCAGCAGCGTATTAAAATATTCATAGAAAATAAATTCCCCTTCTTCACTGGGATACTGTGGAGGGGACAAAAGAAAAAAAAGCTTGGGCGATCAGTACCTCGCTACTCGGCGAATGCCGAATGTGTAGTGCCACCTTTAGGAAAATTTTTAAGTCTACGCAGATTGATTAGTGATTCCGGGCGCACCAAATGCTAAGATCATTCATACCGTAAGTGTAGTTCATGTTTTACCACGGGAAGGGCGGTAATATTACCCCTCTGGATGGCGAGATCCAGTGCCGACCTACCGTCGGCTACCGGGCCTCTACTCAACCAGGTATCTCCACCAATAGGGCGACGCATCAGCCGGGACAACTTTAAACTCCCGACCGTTCTCTTGACATGTGTGATAGTGTAGTGCATGTAAGTGTAAGTGTGTGTATGTAAGGGATGAAGAGATGACAAGGAAAAGGAAAGAAATATTGCTCGCGGTCCGTGGCCGGTTTGTTAGGGTACTGCTCCGGCATTCGCCTAGTGTTGCTCGGAGAAACTATTATCGCTCAGACTAACCTTCCGCAAGAATAATCATTCCTTCGACCTAGCTCTCAATGTCGTGTCGAAACTCCTGCGAACGTCGGGACTCGAACCTAAGATCTCCCGGTCAGAGGCACTGCAGTTGATGCCCTGAGCCACCTCTCCAGGTTATCGCCTTCACAATCCGACAACAGATCCGCGCCGCAAATGCTACTCATAGAAAAAATCCCATTCACAATGCAAACATAAACATAAGCATGGCGTTAACATAAAATTTAAGTCTTTCGCCATAAGCGGACTCATTCACAATGCGCTTACATAAACATAACACAGAAGACGTCAACTTAAAAGCTTGCAAGCTTCAAGCTGCTGTTCTTATGCTTAAGTAAAATATAAGAAATGAACCAATCACAGTACGTTAACTTAAATCGAGAATCGCAATAAGATCGAAGTCGATAGACGAACTAACGCCATGTATCACGGATAATTGACACGGTCGATACCTCGAAATCGATTCTCACATCCAATCAATAGTAAACCCAAATGTCTCAGAGCCAATATAAACTCTTATTTTGTCTACGTTTATGTTAGACATTGTGTATACTCGAGTCTATCATTTATATTAATGATAACGCCCATGCCTATTGCTTATGTTTATGTTTACATTGTGAATGGGCTTTTACTGTGAGTGGCATTGGCCGGATCTGTGGTCAGATTGCGAAGGCGACTACCTGGAGAGCTGGCTCACGGCATCAACTGATGTCACTGCAGTGCCTCTGACCTGGAGTTCGAGTCCCGACGTTGGCAGGATTTTCGACACGACTTCGAGAACTAGATCACATTCGGCCGCTTAGGCGCAAGCGGTGGAGTCGAAAGTGGAGGAAAGATGCGCCGAAATGCACGTCGGCTTGCAGGGGTTTTCATCAGCTATAAGCTCCTGGTCTCCCGACGTGTGTGGTGCAAGTAAGTGTGTGTGTGTGTGTGTCTGTAAGGGTAAGCGTAAGTATATGTAAGACAAGGAAGATCGCGCGCGGTCCGTGACCCATTTGTTAGGACACTGCTCCGGCATTCGTCTGGTGTTGATCGGAGAAATCATCTACGATGTATTCATAGACAGATAAATTTATTTAAACTGCAAATGGGTATAACCCGGTGGCAGCTAATTACATAAATAACATAATAAAGTTAACATGCAAATAATAATAATTATGGTACAATAATAATCATAGAAATAATATGAATAACAATAATAATAACATTAATAATTAAAATAATATTTATATAAAAACTTACTGATTCATAAAACATTAAATTGCCTTTGGAAAAAGAAACTTCTTTAATTTAACTCAGCACTGAATGTTTGCTCAATTAAGACCACACTGCACTTTACTTCACAATGATTTTTTAATCCCTTCCTTTATTATTTCTCTGTTTTACACTGCACGACACCTCACTTCACAATATATCACTTACGCATCGCTATTTAACCCACTCAGTTAAGTCTCTCATTTACGTAGTAATACCCTAAATTAATTTCCTAAACTGTTGAACGTTTCGAGGAAAGGGATCAAAGGTTTTTGCGGGCAAATTATTCCATTATTACTTTCCTATATCGTTTGATTTGTGAAATAAAATTTCCTGATATCCGTCCTCTGCGGTCTTAAATTTATTTTGTTTATGTGATCTCCCCTACTGATGTATGTAGGAATACTTAGCCGCCAATTAATTTCTTTTCAAGCTTGATTACCACTATAATCTTTATACAAAGCGCAGAGTCTTGCTACTGATATCCTGTTTTCGAGTGAATCCCATCCTGCCATTTCTTTGTTCCTGAAAGTAAATTTATCTGCCCTACACTGACAAACTTCGCTCAGTTTTACAGCAAAATCCTCAGAATACAAGTTGTAGAAAACAAAATTTTAATTCAGATTACTTATTATTTTCTTTTTATCTTCAAGTGATAGAAAAATACATAATTTGAAGTGTTTGAACAGTCTCGATTTCGTTTTTTGTGCCTTGAATTTGCAAATCATAGCAAACTTTTTTGTTTCACTTTATAACCAAACAACGGGGGAGATAAACCCAATATGGGTTAATCACAAGATATACGATCTTTGACGACGAGTGGGACAATGAAAGAAGAAAACGAAAATATCCTATTTGACGCGTGGGTCTTGTGATTTATCAGTATCTTCAGAAAAAATAGTGTCCCGATTTTTTGTTTAAAAATATGGAGAGAGAGAGAGAGAGAGAGAGAGAGAGAGAGAGAGAGAGAGAGAGAGAGAGATTTTGAATACAAGATGAATTATAGTATTTCAATATTTCGTTACCAAAACTGCATAAACTTCATAATATAAATTAAGTTCCAGCACTTATATTAATACTATGTCAAATGTATTTAATTTCTAGGGGAAAAAATCGAACTTCTAAGAAAAAAATAGATAATCACTGCAACGCTTTTTAATTTACTATGGAGAAATTGTATTCTTCATTAATTTCACGACAGTTCGTAGTCAGGTATGTCCACATTTTTAGGTACAAGTGCCAGGATGTCCTAATTGTTGCGTAGGAAAATCTGGTCGTCCTAGTTACTTCCAACAAGGCCCGTCCCTTGTATTTGGCGACACGTCCCGGGTTGCCCGAGTACGGTAGATTTCGCACGCGGTGAGGGTGCAAGTAACGAGTTCTGCGAATGCGGGAGGCGCCTCACAGCACGTTGGCAGGTATCGGCGCCTAGAAGATACCATCGGACCTCCGTGATGCCGCATCCGGCTGAACAGAGCGCCGCCACCAAAACCACCGCCGCCACCGCCGCCGCCCCCACGACGTTCGCACGCCAGGCGGGGGGAGGCACTTAGCCTCAGAGGGGTGCAAACGCTCAGGTGGGGCGGGGCGGGGTGGGGTGGAAGGTGCGGTGCAACTCCGGCATTTGCGTTTGACGCCATGGGGAGACAAGAGCTCGCGACTCCTCTCGGAATGGCTTTCTGCGCGTGGTTCTACGCGTCTCTGATGATCGTCTCGTCGGGGAAGAGCTGGTGAGTTTTTCTAGGAATTTTATAATGTCTGTAGCGAAGTAAATTGGTTTCTTTATTGCTTAATCGAACGTCTGGAGGTGAATATTACATTATTATTATTATTATTATTATTATTATTATTATTATTATTATTATTGGCGTACAGGCCAATACTGACCACGCTACACGATTAACGTGTGTAACTCATCCAAGATCAGCTTTTCAGCTGTTTCCTTGGATTTCAACAAGGTTGTTACTCCTTGTAGTGTGACGTATGAGATGATGATGATAGGTGAAGGGACAATCACAAATACGACCATGTCTACGCAGGACTCGAACCTGCAGCCTCCTCGGCACAGACGACGGCTGCCGCAATCGTCTGCGCCACGGGGCCGACATTATTATTATTATTATTATTATTATTATTATTATTATTATTATTATGATGATGATGATGATGATGATGATGATGTTATATTTTAATATGATAAAAGACGGAGTTAATAAGTAGTATGGAAATGTAATAAACTTAAACGCTCCTCTTGTCGAACTAGTACATATCTAATTTGTTATTCAGTGCCTTGCGTGATGTATTTTCAGTGTCTCAGATCATGGAAGGTTAATCGAATGAAGTATGTTAATTTTACCGTTTGTATGCGTCTCCTGAAATTACTTTATCAAATTGAAAACGCGTAAAAATTTACAGTGTGTGACCAAATTAGCTTACATATTTAGAAGATTATTCGTAAATGAACCGACAGATCTTACGTGAAAATGCTTGGTGCTTGACTTTACATATTTTTAATGCATTTGGGAAAAGAAGAAAATTAAAAATGACGGTTTAATATGTTAAAAAATATTTACAACTCTGGAAATCAATTCTTTAATATTTTAAAATTATTACTGGGGATTCTTGACAGCATTAATGCGCTCTAAATATAATTTCCTTTATCGTTAATGTGGAAGAGTTTTGCAAGATAAGGTGAATTTTGATGAGTTTCTTGGTCATGACAATAGTATCCTCTATTATTTCTTTTTTAATTCTTCCCAAATATTCTCTATGGGATTCAATTCGGAAGAGTTTCAGGCCAATTTAGAATTTTTATGATGTTTTAAGAAGAAATTATAAGCTCCGAAATGTTTTGCGACAGTGCACTGTGTCTTGCATGAACAAAAATCAATGTTTTGGATACATTATTTCACCTTTTTTGTGTCATATTGATACTTTGGTCTTGACGCATGTTCCTTATACAATGTAAATCCTACCTGTGCGTAGGCAGCTAAAATTGACCAAATCATGTTGTGAAGATGACGTTTTACTTATTTCATTACGCAGTCATTTGTCTTTATGCGAGAGTTGAATGGAGTGCCTCGACTAGCGAGTTTGGGATTGTCGACTCGTAAACCTTCAAACTACTTTTTTATTCTCGTTTAAGAGGTTTATTTATTAAGTCCATTAAAAACCTAAGACTATAAATCTGTGCCCAAATTGATACAGATGAATTAAATAAAATGTGTGATTCATTGCAAATAATTTATAGCTAGCATTTAATGACTAAACTTCATGGAATCAGATCTCATACTGATCAGACCAGCAATTCACTGCTACGAAAACATTTACAAGAGTTTATAAATAAGCTATTTTTCTTTCACAGGTCCAGTAGTATCAACGGTATATTTTCATCAAGGAGCTTTGAACCGGTAAGTATTTACGGACTAAGATTTGAATTCTTAGTACTACTGATGTAAAATTCCATAAATAGTACATTTTTAATTGCTGTTCTAATCTTTACTTTAGTACTTTAATACTTAATACTTTTATTTAAAATTACATATCCAAGTTTGAAATTACGACAAATAAATTACAATAACAACTTTACTTATAGAAGCATATAAAAATAAATTACACATACACAAAATGTAAAAGAAATACTAAACTAACTTTACTAAAATGTTTACAAAAAATTATTTCTCACTTAATTATTGTCATTTACGATTGAAATACACAAAACTAAATGTGTCGTTTAAACAAATCAATCACTACAAACGTTACTGAAATATTTTTGAATTCAAATACATAGGTTATTTCTAATGATTAGATGACTGTGGATCAAATTCATGTAGAGCTATCAGAATCAGAGCTCTTAAGAATCGATACAATAAAAAGGAACAAAATGTAAGTGCTTATACTTGTGGTGTGTCGCAGGGAAAGCAGATAACCGAGAGCGCGGCCGCCGGGGCGCAGCTCGCCCTCACGCACTGCCAACAGCTGTTCCAGTGGGACCAGTGGAACTGTCCGGAGACGGCGTTTTCAAGGCAAGTGCGGCAAATTACTGTTGGCAGTAGCTAATGACCTGGCTCTGAAAGCAACCGGCCTCCCCCGTTCGCAACGGATCAAACAGCGTGGTTTCATTTAAACGTACTTCATTGATTCGTTAGTGACACCGAGAGCGCCAACGGCTAAGGTCATTATTTCCGTAAGTGTAGTGCATGCTTGTATCGCTTGAGATGGCTGTGATCCCCTTCCATTGGCTGGCGACATCCGGAGCTGACTTACGTCGTCTTCCTGGATTTTGTCCATCTAGGTATCTCCCACCTGCGTGTCACCGACCCAACCGGGACAAGCTCTAAGCACCCGTCTGTCCTCTCGCGAAATGTGATAATGTAGTGCGTTTGAGTGTAACTGTGTGTAAGTAAACTAGTGGAAGTACAAAGAAGAGGAATGAAAGATCGCGTGCGGTCCGTGGTGCGTTTGTAAGGATATTACTCCGACATTAGCCTGGTGGTGATCGAACAAACCATGGAAAACTACCGAGCAGAGTAGTTGGTCGATAGAATTATCATCCAGGCAGCGGCTGAATTCCATCTAGCTGACAAGCTAGTGTCGCAAATCCTGCCACCACCGACAGGACTCAAACCCTAGGCCCTCCTGCTCAGAGGCACTGCAGTGCCATCTGGTGATGCCCTGAGTCACCTTTACCGGTTTTAACTTTTTTGAAATAGCTTATTATAACAATTTTCATAACATTGAATCTACATTTCAGTATCAGATTTAAATTTTGCTTACTTCAAATCACAAATACAATTAATTTTGTAGTTTTTTGGGACTTTGTTTCTCTTTAGTATTCGAACTGAGTGAAAGCGTCTAAATTGATACAAAATCTAATTTGAGATGTAAAATCTACTTCAGGTAGCAACCAGCTTCCTAAGAAGCACATTTAGTGACATTGGGAGCCTGTACTCTACTTTGCGCAAAATGTTGTTTTCAATTACGATATGACTTGCACTTGGCAATCTTTGAATGACCTGGGCGTTTGAACAGGATCGTAGATTACGTTTGCGAAACAAATCTCAGAGCTCTGATGGGTATCTTTACAAGGTATTTCTACACCCTTAATCGACATTCGAAAGAGAAATATAATCATTGATTTTTTTGTGAAAGAACGCATGTGTCAGACGTTTGTTGTACATTGCGTTTTTATACACTCTCTTGTCTTTGCATTTAAAAACACTTTTCAAACTTAAGAAAACTCGCATGATAAAGCATAAATTCTATTAATTTCAATACATTATCAAAATTTGGCGTTTATTCTAAAAATGAGTTAATAAGAACAAGTGATAACAGTTCTGAGGCCAGTTAAGTTTCACTTAAAGTAAAAATTACGAAATTTGGTTGAGAATAAAGCTCAAAATCTATCTAAACTAAAACCCTTAGTGATTTAAATACCATTTCTTTTTACAATTCTCAAAATGTCAGAAGTTTTAATCAGAATCGGAAGTATACCAAACCTATAAATTAACTGTCTTCTAATCTAGCAAAAACGTTTAAAGAAAACATTTTAGCTATTTTCCAGAAAATTGACAATATCATAGGGGATTTATGTACCCCCAAAATTAAAATATTTTAATGATCCGGCACAACTAGATTATATTTCTAACATTTTACCAAGTTGCAGTCCAAAAGCTTCTAATCTAATTGAGTTATGTGCTACACATTTATACATCCATCTATCCACCCAGTTTGCCAGATTTCCCGAAAACGTTTGCATCTATCTTCTCGTCACATGTACTAATCTTAAGCATCTTTGGTACAGCCACTAACAGACTTTAATCCTGACCTGTGTGTTAAGTTACATCTACCTCAGACATGGATTTTACGACCAAAAATGCAAGATCTTATTGTTTATTTGAATCTAATACTTCTCCTTCCTGTACTATAAAACAGGGAAGAAATGGAAAGACAGTTAAGTTCTCTTAAACTCAATAATAGTAATACGACTCATGTACAACACTTATGCAATTGGCCATGCGTCTATGTTGAGCGGGTTGCATTCTGTTACTGTCGCACCTTTGTTTCAAAAACCCCTGAGATGACTTCTTGATTTGAAAACTATAAAGATTCTTATCTCAAATAGCGTGATCTCGGATTAATATAACCCCTTTTTTCTGTATCATAATTTCAAATCCACTTTTGATAAATTGTGACACCACGTACGTAGTTAATTTGAATATTACAAGGTTAGATGCAATAAATTTATATTTGTTTAAAAAATAGTAGATATCCAGGTACATTATCGTTCTCTCTAGTGGCAGAATAATTACTTTATTTGCAAAATATCTTTCAACGGGTTTTTATTTTTTCATTTATTTCATTTTAATTAATTCATGAGTGGGGTGGAGAATACCATAAACTCATTGATTGTTTTTCTCCAGAACATGTTCCTAAAGATATGGTCCTATTTGACCACGACATGTAAATGAGGAATACATTTTCTGTACATGAAGAAAGTTTCTTTTTCTCCCATGTGGATACGAAATAAACGTAGTACGTACCGAATACGACAACAAAAGGAAAAATAATAACTACAGGAACTACAAGTACTAAGAAATATTCATTTTTTTATTCAGTAAAAACTGTATGTGACGTATGGGGGAGATCATTTGCCCACTTTTCTTGAGTTCCAGAATCCCTTTCCAACATTTTAACTACAAATAGTTGAAAGGTGAATAAAAGTAGTAGTAGTAATAATAATAATAATAATAATAATAATAATAATAATAATAATAATAAATTTAGAAAAACACGAGATCTGCAACATTTGAAAAACTAAACATTTTCGTTCCCTAGTTATAGAAAATTAATTTGCACCGCCATCGGTAAACGAACTGCAAATTTGATTTTTCTGCATTGCTAACAAAATAGTACACTCGACTCCAGGGAAGAAGAATGAATATTTATTAAGAAATAAAGATACAGAAACTAGGAAATAAACTATGCTAACTCAAACCACCATAACCCCACACCAGATTATAACGCCATGTACTCCGAAACTGAAATGAAATATAGAATATAAGGAATTAATCAAAGGTTCGCGTTGGTCCGCATTGGTTCCCAGCGTCATTCTCGCACACAGCCTCTTGAATCACTCTCAAATATTATGTGTTTAGCTGATTTGCGGAGTAAATCGGAGAGTATGTACTCTAGAGTAAAATAACCCTCTAGAAGCATGGTGAAACGCTCATATTCTACTCGAGAGTTACTATCTTGGAGTAAATGGTTACTCTCGGGTAACTACTCTCAACTTTACTCGGCTGTTGGTGAAACCGGCCCTAAGCCATCCTACGCTGTATTCTGGTCTTCTCAATCTGAGAGGTGAGCTTTCACATCGTCACACAGCAACAGATACTGGGACATTGCATGGAAAGCGGACAATTAACTTTTGCCCCGACCGGGAATCGAACCCGGGGTTGCGCCTTGGGAAGCGAGCACGCTAATCAACGAGCATGAATGGGCTATTGAACTATGACGATACAATTCAGAAATTTCTTTACTTCGTAGATAGATTCTGCTTCTCAGTCTCTGATACGCCCATAGTACATGTTTGTTGTGGCTGTCTTTGCTTATTATACTATAACCTACAAACTTTGATTACTGGGAGTTGATGCGTTTACATTCTTCGCATATTTCAAATTCTGTCAGAAATTCTGGTATTTGCTTTAGCATAACTGTAACTATCTTCTCTGTGATGTCCATATATGTACAAAATGACACTATTTTATTTTCGTAAAATTTCTTATAGTTACTAAAGTTGTCTATATCCATGAAGAAATCCTTGATAGCATTATGTTGTGTTCTAGTGGTAAAGTCGTTTTTGTCTACTGACTTGATATCTAATATTACTTTATAGTTTTTACCTCATAAATGTATGGGTGGGATTTTCACCATTGAAATAACATTATCTGAATCTTTTGAGGGTTCTTCTTTCATTTCGTATCTATTTGATTCTAACATTTGTATCTTTTTAATACTGAAACGCTATACATATCACGAGAAGCGTAAATTCTTTGTCTCTAGGCAGAATTCATTTCCGCAATATTTGATTCTCTACTTTCGTTTTGTTGTTGAGGCTTACTACTTATATGTGGTAATGAAGAATGGTGAATCTGTGGAACATGTCGAAAATCTTGTTATTGTTGCAGCTACGGAATAATTATGCGCTGTTCATGAAGTTGTAGTAGAAACTTGTTTATTGGTCTTACATCATTTTCCATTGTAGCTCTGCTCGAAGTTGGCGATTTTGTTGTTCCTGAAGTTTTAATTGTTTCTCAACGCATGGGGTTCACTCAGTCATTTCAATACTTGAATTTACAGCTTCATTTGGACAATTTAACTAATCTAGGACACTTTTAATTGCTTCTGCTATCCGTTTTTAACGAATACATTGCTACGTGTGAGATCCCGTCATATATCCTGTTCGATTTCTGTGCAATGCACGGATATGCGCGGAAAAGTATCCCTTTGGTTTCAATAAACTAAAGAAATCCCACCGGCTTAGTTTTAGTCAGAGCCAGCATTTTCAGTGTCTCTGCACCGGCAGGTCCTAAGGCTCTAGCCTAATTATATAATTATATACATAGCTAGTAGCTAGATCGAATTCAAAAGCTGTCTGAAGGAGTATTCGAGCGGCCGTTTATTCTGATCGGTGACTCTAAAATCATTTCATATAAAATCTATTCCAGGCGAATGCAGGATACCTGCGGTTGCCGACGAAATTTCCTTTCTCTTCCTTGACCTATCCTCTCCCCTTACGTACGCACACTAATACTTCCATGCACTTTGCTACCACACATGTCAGGATATCAGTCGGGAGCTAGAGTCTGTGCCGTTCGGGTTGGTGCTTCCCTGTGTGAGGGACCCGGAGGAGGAAATCCTCCTTTGACGTGTATTTCGGCACGGATCTTCCCATCCACGATGGGGGCAAATACCGCCCCTTCCAGTAATAAAAGTCATTCACTACACTAACGGGACTAATGACCATAGCAGGTGGCTTGCCCGGTAACATTAATCAACCAACATTCGCAATCAGTGGAACCGAGAAGCTTTCTATCTCCACGACCTTAAGAAGCGTTCTTTTGTTTATCAAAGGTATTCTAATAGCCTACCCCTTTGCTAGGTAGAGGCAATTGACTACAATAACCGGCTACGTTACAACCAGTGAGCTTTGGTGTAGACTGAAGACAAGCCTGGTAAGAAATCTTGTCTGTCTGCCATGTTGGTGAATTTTGTTCTGTCCGTTATCTCAGAACCAAAGAGCAGGGATTAGCGTCTAATTCTGATTTTAAACATTTATTCTCTTTTATGTTCACGAAACTTTGAAACCAATATGTAATACTCTGTAATTGCAATTTACCTACAATATTTTAACAAAATCCAATCCTGGATACTTTTTTAACATTCACGCCTGGTTTGCATATTTTTAATTCAACTTATGGCAAATAATTGTCATTGGGAAGGAAGGCCTGAAAATATTATTGAAGTCATGGCTACTAAATAATATGTGATATTGCATTCTTATCTAGTTTACGGCACAATATTTTCATACCTTTTGAGCTAAATCCTATTTCCAGTTTGACGTTCTTTACAACCAAATGCTACGCAATACTCTGGAATTATGGTTCATAAAGCCGATTTTACGCATTAGCACCAACACACGAGCCACATTTAACTCCGTAAAAAAAGTAGGTAGACATTCACCGCTGCCAACCTAAAGAAAAACGATCGCCACGACGTTCAGCACTCCAAAGCATTGCAGTTGCGCACTCAGTTGTAATGTTGCGATCGCAACTCGCTGCGGGCGTTTCGCAGGAAGGGGCGCCAGTCCCCCAACCGCGAGACGGCGCTGGTGCTGGCGCTGACGGCGGCCGGGGTGGCGTTCAGCGTGACGCAGAACTGCTCGCGCGGGGAGATCAGCGGCTGCGGGTGCGACCCGAGGCGCAGCGGCAAGGCAGGTGGGTAGAGCAGCTTGTTGCGGTGCCCGCTGAATTGAATTGAATTGAATTGAACTGAATGGAATTGAATGGAATGGAATGGAATCGAATGGAATAGAATTGAATCGAATTGAATTGATGCCTTTAATTTTACGCGGTGACTCTCAGGCCATGAGGCCCGCTCTTCCGTCTGACCACGCAAATTTTCCCATCCACTAACGGAGATAGGAGGTACACTCGGGCGACGAAACAGACGAATTGAATTGAGCTCAGAGGCTACATTTAGGCTTGAAGATATTTTACATGCAGTAAATCTACTAAGATGGGACAGCCGGCTTTCTTTTCCCTCCAAAGGAAAGCATACGAAGAATTCTCTCGCCCTTAAAAATCCACGGATTCGATCCCGTGTGAACTTGGGTATAACAGTCCGATACGCTAACCGTTACACCATCGCGGCCGCCCGTTTACCAAATCACAGGCAAGGTCGCCGAAGGAAAATCCACGCAAAAAAACAATGGGCACTTATAAAACGTTCGACAACAATGTGTACATGTGTACAACATTACTATTTATTATTAAATACTATTAAAACTATTGAAATTACTGCAATACTATTAAAACTACTGAAACTAATGCAATACTATTAAAACTATTGAACTATTGTATAACGATGTTACAAATTTGTCGAATAAAAAGTAAGTTGGAGTTACGTGCGGTCTCACATCTCTTAAGGGTCGGACTACATGGCCTGCAGGTATGTAAATGTTGCCGACCTCTTCCCTAGCTCGAGTCGCTTTCTGTGCCCCGATCCACGGGCGTCCTGGCCACTAGGACAGTGCCAAGTAATGCCTTTGATGGCCGATAATGCCATGTAATTTAAAATAACTTAACATCCAAATTGAGAAAAATTCGACCATAGTTTATTAAAGTTTGATTGATTACTGATTCCGGGCGTGTATACTTATGAAGTCATTAGTCCCGTAAGTACAGTGCATATTTTCATCGAGGGAGAGGGCGGTGATCTTTCCCCGCTGGCTGCTAAAATCCGGCTACGTCAGATAGCGGACATTTTGCCTAACCAGGTACCTCCCAACAGCAGGGCCACCGCCCCAGACGGGAGAAGCTCTAAGCTCTCTATAGGTCTCCCTATAAGTGCGATAGTGTAGTACATGTGAGTGTAAATGTAGGATAGGGATGGGTGAGGATTAAAGAATAAAGAGGAAGGAAAAATCGCGCGCGGTTCGTGGCCCGTTTGTTAGGGTACTGCTCCAGATTTCACCTGCAGTTGATCGGTGAAGCCACGGAAACCACGGATCAGAGCAGCCGGCCCCTAGAATTCTCCTCTTGACAGCGACTAAATTTGACATGTCTTTCTACAGTTCAAAAGCCTGCCATCGTCGGGACTCGCATCCTAGGATCTCCCGGTCTGAGGCACTGCTACAGCAGTTCGATAAGGCGTAAATCAAGTACATCAATTTGAGCGTAGGCTTCCGCGGCCGGAGTCAGTATTTACTAGGCTGTCCGGGTGACGCCGCGTCCATGGCGAAGGTGCCGACGTCCATGGCGAAGGCGCCATGGACGCGGCGTCACCCGGACAGCCTAGTAAATAAGTACATCAATGTTAAGAATATTCGTTATTATTTATGATTCTGAACAGGAGATGGTTGGAGATGGGGCGGGTGCAGCGACGACGTGGCTTTCGGGGAAGCCGTGTCCTTCCAAGTGATGGACGAGCTGGAGGAGGGGCTGGACATGCAGGCGTATGTCAATAGGCATAACATGGCTGCTGGCCGCGAGGTAAGTAAGAAAAGAATATTCGTATATACAAATGAAGGGGTTAGTGGAATAAGGAGCTATCCTACATTATATTCCTCATATATCCCTCATCTGAGATGTTGAGGGTTTTACTGGCACTTTCGCAACATAACTCACTACATTTTTTAACTTTTAAACACAACACACTTGCGTATAACTCCATCCTGTATTTACATAACACATTAAAATAGAAGAATAATATTTAAAGTTATATTTAATGCTAATAAATCAATTTTACTAAAATTGGTGCCGTTTTTGTGAAAATGGCGTTTGAGCGTTTCTGAAAATGCGGAGGTTTGAGCTAGTTTTCACAGAAAACGATAGAGTTTTCGAGAAACTTTATACAACGTTATTTAAATCACATGTACTGATAAATACAATAATGTGAACAAATTGCCAATAATATAAATATTAACAACAGGAGAGACAAGTAAAAAAATATTTTTGTACATTTAGCGCTATCTCTACAAAACGTTTAAAAAAGAAGTTGGAGCCGTTTTGGGGGAAATCTAGTTTTTGTAATTTTTTAAAATTGCACATATTGCACGCAAAATTGTGCGAGGACTACTAATATTTTTAACAAAATGAACATGACCTTAATGAAAAAATTCACAATAAGAAGAAATTTTATTTGAAGGAAATCTCTATCTGTAATTTTGTAGTTGCAGAAAGACGTCGAAAAAATTATACTTTTGAAATTTTCGAAAATTCAGAGACCGTGAAAATCGGATGTTACGGTGAACCTATGCCACGTTTAGTAACCCGACTCCTCGTGACTGAGTGAACTTCGGCGCGACCATCTGAAGATTGCAAACCATTTCGTATGTGCAGGCGCTGCGCAAGACGATGCAGAAGAAATGCAGGTGCCACGGAGTCAGTGGAAGTTGCTCCTCCATGACCTGTTGGATGCAGATGGCTTCTTTCCGAGAAGTAACATCGCGACTACGTCAGCGATACGAGCGTGCAGTTAGGTGAGATGTGCCCAAAAATCTTTTTTTCTTTTCTTGTTTTCTTTCTTTTTTTCTTTTTTTTCTTTCTTTTTTTCTTCTTTTTTCTTCTTTTTCAATTCTGTTTTCTTTCTTTCTTTCTTTCTTTCTTTCTTCTTCTTTTTTTCTTCTTTTTCAATTCTTTTTTCTTTCTTTTTCTTCTTCTTTTTTCTTCTTTTTTCTTTCTTTTTTCTTCTTTTTTCTTTCTTTTTTCTTCTTTTTCATTTCTTTTTTCTTTCTTTTTCTTCTTCTTTTTTTCTTTCTTTTTTTTCTTCTTTTTTCTTTTCAGATTTTCACTTCAGTTCTGAAATATTCGAGAACAGATACGATAAGGTAGGGAAACTATTTAGTCCATAACTTCCTTGCCGCGACATTGCAGGCCTAGGACATTCTCTGTTTACTAAAGTATATTTGAATAAAACATTATTTGATATAAAACCATTGAAACTCACGTGAAGTATTCGCTGGTGTATAGTTTTAAATAACAATCTTTGCCTATTTTCCGCGACACATTCCCTGTCCAGCTTTTGTGCTTTATTAGGAATTATTTTACAAACCACCTGCGTTGTACGTCTTCTGAACACTTCATACTCCGCATATTTGACTCAAGCAACGACTGCCCATAAATTGAACTGAAGTCTTATTTTACGTGGTGAGACTCGGGCCATGAGGCCTTCTATTCCATTTGACCACTGAAATTTCACTACGCTCCTTTTACCAACCAACAGAGAAAGGAGGTAATTCTCGGGCGACGGAACAGACAATTTGAATTTAGCTCAGAAGCTTCATTTAAGCATGAGGATTTTTTACATGAAGTAAATCTACTAACATGGGACAGCCGGCGGTGATGGTGGCGGCGGCGATGGTGTAACGGTTAACGTACTGGACTGTTGTACCCAAGTTGGCGGGTTCAAACCCGATCGAAGCCGTGGATTTTTAAGGGCGAAAAAATCCTTCGTGCGCCTTCCTTCGGAGGGGAAGTAAAGCCGGCTGTCCCATGTTCGTAGATTTACTTGCATGTAAAAGATCCTCAAGCCTAAATGACGCCTCTGAGCTAAATTCAAATCGCCTGTTTCTCGCCCAAGAAATACCTCCTTTCTCTCCTAGTTGGTGGAAGGAGCGTAGCGAAATTTACGTGGTCAGACGGAAGAGCGGGCCTGATGGCCCGAGTCTCGCCACGTAAAATAAGGCAAATTCAATTCAATTCAGCCGGATTTACTTCCTCTCCTAAGGGAGGCGTAAGAAGGATTTTTTCGCCCTTAAAAATCCACGACTTCGATCGGGTTTGGACCCGCGAACTTAGCAGTCCGATACGCTATCCGTCACACCATCGCCACAGAAAGGCGGCACTACACATTCGGCGAATCTCGAGCAACTGCTCGCCCAATCCCGAGTAGTGTGGACAGGTTGCTTGCAATTCGCCGAGTGACGAACATTCGGTATCGCCTGTCGGTCTCTAGGACTTATCAAAGGGAGCCAACTTCACCAGGTGTTTTGGATTGGGCGAGCAGTAGCTCAATGCTTGGCGAATGCCGAATGTGTGGAGCCACCTTAAGACGCGTTAGCAATGTTGCCGCAGGTAGAGTGCCCGAATGCGGAATCTCAAGCTCCGCTATGCTGTTTTTTGCGGAAGCTGGACAGTCAAAATGCAAATATGAAAGCGCGTGCTTCCTTTTATTCAATAAGTCAGTTTTTTGTTACCTTATTGCATGTTTTTATTAATCATTGTGACGAGTCTGAATGTAGTCACAGTATCTCAATTCAATCAAACCTCAAATGGAATGTACAAATAACAGAATTAAACAATAAATTAAGTTCGTTATGTTACGCAGGATTCTTTCAAATTCTGTCAGCCTTCATGAAGCTTGTTGCGCGTATATTGCAATTGTACATTCCCTTTTGAGATATGGCATAATATTTTGGGGAAGCTTATCCTGTAGTACCCAGACGTACATATTACTAAAGAAAATTATTCGAGACCCCTTGTTTTGCTTCTGAACATAAATGTATCTTCACTGTGCGCACGTTTTGTTGAACTCTCCATTTGCTTGTAGTGGTGGTAGAGATAAGAGTAGTGCCGGGGGAGAGTTGCTAAATTGTCGGCAATACAGAGGAATCAGATCTGGAGTACTCTCGCCGATGCAAATAAGTGTTCTATAACACGGGAACAAAAATGTCTAGTTTCTTCAAATGTTGCTAATCTCACGCTTTTTTAAATTTATTATTATTATTATTTTTTTTTTACTTTTATTCATCTTTCGGCTATTTATAGTTCAAATGTTGGGAAGGGGTTCAGGAACTCAAAAAACGTGCGCAGTTTATTTTCTCCCCCATTCGTCACATATAGTTTCTACTTTTTTTGACTAAATAAATCAAATCAAGGAAAGTCAACCTCGGAAAGACAAAGTTTAAGGGTATTGTTTTAATAGTTGTGTTAGAAAACTTGTCCCATTCTGCAAAAAACCGAAGAATCATCCTTCATCATTATTACAGCATTTCTCTTTACGGATTCAGAACCTCGAAAAATGTTTGCTACTCTTTTGAGACCGTGAGTAGGCATTGCATTTCTTTACGATACCAGATTCCACATCACATGCCTTATACGAATATTTTAAATTTCAACTCTACAGAATCAAAATAGGTCTCTGCAATAACGTAAAGCAGAATCATTAAAATCACGAAATCGTATTCCGTCCTGCACACTAAGCCTGAATGTTCTGGCACTGGCAACGTTAGCTTTGAGTTACACAATGTCCGCACCAAAAGAAGTGCACAATTAATTGTAAAGCTCTTTACCCCGTACGTTTTGAACTTGGCTTTATTGCAAACAGAAGTTCTGGCTCATCTGCACCATTCGTATTACTTTCTCAATGAAAAAAATACAAATTTGAATTTATGTCAGTTACTACCTTTAGGTGTGGATGTTCTCGATCTCTCTTATGAATTATCCTTTTTCGTTCGTAGGGTAATATTACTTTCCTTCTTGAAAGCACAGAATGAAACATTACATAAGGACCTTTCTACGGAAGTTTATTCTTTTATTTTCACTTCTGGAGACCTATAGGTTGAGTCAAGGTAAGAAAAGTTTTCTTTTGAATTTCTTTGTACGGCTATAAAGAGTTCTTCAGAATTTTCGGTCGTGTATTCAAGTACTTGAAATTGATTTCAAGCCCCATTTATTATACTTCTTGAATATCTAATTACGTGTGTATTTCTTATCATCACTAACTTTTGCGAAAATATTCTGACTTTTTCTTCTTCTGAAAATCAACACGTGTTAAACACAAATTTCAGTTAACATCACATTTTCAGAGAGAGAGGGAGAGTGAGAGAGAATGAGAGAGAGTGTGAAATAGAGAGAGAGGTAGAGGGACATAGAGAAGGAGAGAAATAAGACATTGTTTTAAATGAAAAGCATTTGATTTGCAGGATTGGTTTTGAAAAAGGGAGAGGGGTTCGAGCTCTGGGAAACGCGGTAATGTCTAATTCCGCCAAAGAGATACCGCTATCAGTGTCGTCGGAGCAGCTGCTGTACATCACGGACTCTCCCGACTACTGCTTACCTGATCCTGAATCAGGTGAGCAAGAAATGTCATATGAATATCAGGCGTTGGTAATTGCAATTATAAAGTTGTGCATGTTCAGCCCCGAATGTTACATTTTCTCACAAACATTACTACTCAGAGCAAATTTTGATCCTCAACATCTTTGGTGCGTAAATTATTTAAAGAAAAACATTAAAGAGCATAATATCTCAATGTAACACATAAATACTCTGAAAATCACCTTAATATATGATTGCATACAAAGAACGATTAAAAGCAGTTGTTACACTGGTGGTGCTACAACAGTACATTATTTCTCGAATTGTTTGTAATGGTTACGTAATATTTCATTGCAGTTGTATTCTACTTCATCCTTCCCTTTTAAAACCCCCTTCATCAAACGAATCGTAATAGAATCGAAAAAAATACATTGTTAATGTTTTGAACATCCCGATAGAATTTGTGAGAGGGTTTTGGGGGATAATTTAATGATGACGTGAAACGACATGCGTATTCTCAACAGTTCACTTTCTCATATGAAACGCAGATTCGGCTTTTATATTAAACATTGTCCTCGGGTATCGTAAAGAACGCTTCAAAATGGTGTAGGTCTCAGTTCCGTGCAATATATCAAATTTCCAAATTTGAAAAAGTTCAAAATGTTTTCAGCGTCTTCCTACAACTACAGAAGAGATTTTTCATCTGAATAAAATCGAAATTGGATCTTTTAACAAGGACATATGTATTTTTTCCAAGATATCAGTAGTTTTCGAGTAGTTATGCGAGAAATAAAGGCAGTATAAAAATATATATTTTCTTTACAACGGCTCCATATTTTTTTCTTCAACTTCCTTCAACTCAAAAGTTTTCGGTGAAAATCAACTTAAAATTGTGCATTTAAAAAATGCTCAAACTATATTTTCTCAAAAATGAGTAGTAGCTTTTTGATTTTGCCCTTCCCTCTTTCCAACTGTAATATATTGAAAGACACTCTTTACATTCTGCTAATTTTACTTCCCCTAAAAGCACAATTGAATCACATCAAGAATTTTATGGAATCTTCCTTCTTCTGTGTTTCTTTCTATTTAGTTGTTTGACCTTGTGTATGTTGATGTCTATGTGTAAATCCTCTTCATTCATGTGACCTTATTTGCGTTTACATATTGATAGAGAATGAGTTAGGATGAGTATATACACGATTAGGATAATGATGAAATAAAGTGATGTAGAGTCAACTATTTGTGTTAGAATAGGTCTAAACCTTATTAAAAAGAATAGATACTCTCATGCATCAACGATTTTCCTCCAGAAGGAAGGTCGCAGAATGGCGGCTGAAACGTTGGCACCTGCGCCTAGGACCTGATAGATAGCCAAGTAGTTGCTGACTCCAGCAGCGGAAAGTCTAGGCTCTCACATCTGTATTGTTTCAAATAAGAGAAAAAGTGGTATTTACTCTTACCTAAGTATTTATTCTTATAAAAGTATGCATAAGTATATATAATCCGGACACGAGCAAAAACTCTGCACTTTGCAAATAATAATTGTATGACAACTGAAAATCGATTTAAAGTAGCACCAAACAAAACACGTTTTTGGTTGTATGGGTGGTGGGAACATTTCAAAAATATTATTTTACTTTTAGATTTATAGTGTAACTACTCGTATATTATTTGATTTAGGGAAACGTTTTACCATCTTATTCGGGGGTACCATTTCATAAAACGGTGTTACACTTTTGATATTTACCCCTGAGCGTTAGGCAACTTCTAATGCACTAGTGTACAGCTGGTCACTTTCTAACGCAGATGTGCATATGTATGCTCATGTTACACCTTTGCCTAACAATAAGAAGCAAATGTCACATGCGTAACACGTATGCCTTTTATGCCTTGAATGAAAACTAGTGGTGATACAACAGCAAGTTCTTTCTCACACCCGGTTACGAAAAAATATAATACTCCCAACTTCTGTCAAAATTATCACATCTCAGCCATTACTTGTAAAACTCATAATACCATCACTCATAACTTATTATGCGCGAAAACGAAGCTAATACATTAAAACAAATTCGACAATCCAAAAAACCGTTCTATTCACGCAGAAACACTGCAAATAAAGTGAAGATATTGTGAGAATTTCAAACTGCCGTGTCGCGGCATTCTCATTCATTGTTTTGCACCCTGATAATTCTGGAAATATTCCAGCAGAAGAAGTGCGGAAAAATCGAATATGAAATTTCAAAAATTTGTAAAATTACGCTTAATTGCTGAATTCCATAAAAAACTAAATACATGTACGTTTTGTAAAAGAAGTGCATTTCTCGAACAGATTTTATTATTAAAAATCTTTCATTAATATTATACTTTCGCAGTGTTAAATTTTTTATAATTTTCAAAAATACAGAGTTTGCCGAAAATGGGACCAGCAACATTTTTTTTACCGTTCTTTGCTACATAAGAGGAACAAAATTGGAGCCGTTTTTTTAGAAAACTATTCTTTAAAAATTGTCTATGTTTTACACAAAAACTACTCATAATTTCAAAATTTTGTGTACAACCTTATAGTTTATTACACTTTTTCAAGATATTTTTATGAACAGATTTCAGAAAGGAAAATCTTCAATATTATTTTTGCAGGAAGTCGCAGCAAAAATGTTTGAATGTTTGCAATTTCAATGAAAATGTGACTTATGCTAAGTGTATTTTGCTCTTTCAGAAAATTTATTTTTTAATTTGGAGCCACTGTTTAGGAAATTTTGTTGAGGCTTCATGCAACGTATCTTTCCAAAATCAAAATATCCACTTCCAATAGAAGAGGCCGCAACATCAGACAGACAGATCGATCGAGGAATATTAATTTTTGAGAAAATCCTGCCCACGGTTTCGCCGCTAGCGTTGTTCACAGACCGACGAACGGACAGACAGACGTTTTGATTCTAACTATAAACGTGTTGAAAGTAATTTACTATACATACGGACAAGATTTATACACATTTTCGTACAAGGTCCCTGCAATAAGAGTTTTCTGTCGAAAAATCGCAGTTTTCCTCTCTGCAATACACTACTTTCTTTACTTTTTGTAAGCAGTATGCGAGAACGTAAACTAGTAGTGCCAAAACAGCATGTACTTTCTCGCACAATTACGCGAAAAGTACTCAAATTTTCGAAAAATTGTACATGACCTTATTTCTATATTTTAAGAACAGATGTTAATAAGGGAAAATATCTCCATCTTTAATATTTTAGTTGTAGAAAGACGCCGAAAAAGTTTTGAACTTTTGCAATTTTCGAAAAATCAGAGTTTTAACGAACGTGAGACCTGCACCATTCTCTTAAGCGTCCATCACACTAACCACAAAATTTAATCAAAAACGATGGGGATTTTTTTTAATATTTGGAAAATGTCCCAGGAACTTCATGTAAATCCCCCTCCCCCCCAAAAAAAATTGAAATATCGGTTTCAAATTCAAGGGGCCAGGGCATCAGCCAGATCGATTGGATAATATCAATTTTGGGGAAAATAGGCTGAACGGTTTAGCCGCTAGCGTTGCTCACAGACGGGCAGACAGATGGACGGGCAGACGTTTTGCTGTCAATCGATTTTGCAGTATCCCACAAAAGATCGATTCTGGCTGCACCACGTGTTTGAGGATTATTTTTCTACATTTAGCAACTGAATTTATCCACTTTGCCGTTACCCCACAATACACCGAGACTTACAAATGACAACAATAAAAGAAGAAATTAACAAGACTAGCGCAAAATACTTACGACGACATAACCATCAAAATATTCTTGCCATTAACTTACTAGACAATAGTGACACCACCAGACGACTTAAACGATATCGACTATAAATTGTTATATTTTCTGTTTTATTATTATATATGATTATCATCATATATTTTTAGTATGTTTAGTATGTTAGTTTAGTTTAGTTATCAAATATGTTTAGTGTGTGTTAATCTGAAAAAATGTAATATTAGGAGTACGGTCAATGGACTTTACTCCTCTCAAGTTATTAAAATTGTATGTAATTTTGCCACATTTGTATACCCCAATAAATTGCAAAATAAAATATGATTATAAAAAAACTTTTCCGTTGCCAGAGACCTATAATAAGAGTTTAGTTCTTCCTCTCTGCTGCGTAGCGAGAAAGTAAAAAGTCAGAGCCAGAGACTTGTGCTCCCTTCGGGTCGCAACTGCGTACGGTAAGCGAAACACGGTGTCTGTTGCAGGGTGGGCGGGCACACACGGTCGGCTGTGCTCCCGCGCGTCGGCCGCCTCCAACGCCTCGCTAGCGGAGCGCCGCAGTTGCAGAGTGCTGTGTCGTGCGTGCGGCCATCGCGTGCAACGCCAACAGAGGGAGCACGTGTGGCGATGCAACTGCACCTTCCGCTGGTGCTGCGACGTCACCTGCCAGACGTGCCGGAAGATCATCACCGATCACTACTGCGCCTGAAGCATCGGGATCTTCGAAACGTGGACACATAACTGAGCTGGAAACTATAATATCTCGGGGGTCTGAAGAGCTTTAAGAAAATATAAGTGTTATTTTGCGTTATTGTTAACGTAGGGTCACGTAACGTTACAAGTATTGTCAATACTGAACAAGAACTTCCAATAGTGTCGGATATGTCTCCTTCGGTGATAATTGAAAGCACTTGTAAATTAAAATCCTTTTTACTTTTTAAAAGTCAAGTGTCCGCTGGAGTTTACATTTCATGACAATCTTCAGAACTTATAATGAAAACCTCTTTAACAAATAATTATCATAAAAGTTTCTATCTACATCTCTCTCAAAATTACGAACCTACCTCGCATAAATTATTTAACCTCCCATACACCAGTTTTGATGCAACTCTTACTCATAAATATTGTTAAAACTAAATTGTTTTAACCCACACGATCTTAAAAATGCACTCTAGGTCCATCTCAAACGGAAGACTATCTACACACCCTAAGAATGCACGTAATAGCTTTGAAGAGGCGGAAGTAGACATTTGAGGGCGGGTGAACAGAATCTTGTCATGGTTCAATATGAAAGTCATCCATTCGGTAAGGTAATTTCCTCAATAACAAATAAGGTATAATAGTTGCGAACATTTATTTATTTAACGATGTTATTTCTTTTTTATTATGTGGTCTCAACAGGGTGTTTGGGGGGAGGGGTTAAAATCCTCGTGACACCCTCTCCTGGATCCGCCAGTGTGACAAAATAGGAAGCGTGCACATAAAAAAATCCATAAGTAATTCCGCTTTAGGAACAGTGGTTTGTTACACACTTTATCATGTATTTACTTCCAAGCCTTCACTTCTGCCAGCTCTTTAAAAAAATGTTTACATGCTCTATTGCTTACACATACGTAATAATACCTTTTTATGCCAGCATTTTAAACGACCGTAACAAGAAATCGTTCTTAGGGCATTTTATGTCACTTCTGGTATAGCCCGTCCTCAGCGCTCGCAGTCACCGTCCGTTCTCCCGAAGTTAAACTGGCCTTGGTTCTCCCTATTATTTCAACATATGGTGGCATCTGCAAACCTTTTAAAGTTTGTTTACAAAGTATGTAGGCTCTTTATAAATTTCAAACAAATGTGTATATAACTTGTTTATTATGTTGCTTTATTGCAGTCGTACTAATTAATCACTCGATCGATTTCAAAACCCGTACTTATGCAACCAAGCATACGTGTATACTACAAAAATTATAACTAATTGAATAATATACTAATGCAATCTAAGTTTCGTATTCGTTATTTATTAATGAATATATGGGTTAATGTATTAAAAAACTTGCAAGCATTAACTAATATGATAGGTGTAAGTGTATGAGTAATGTCAAAACGAATGTTCATACAAATGTATTTTACCTTGCTTTTAATGACACTTTTTGAGAAACAAGCTGCAACAAGCAAGTTGTAATCCCCCCCCCTTCTTTTCTTGACAAAATCTCTACAGTCCACATTTGATTTAGAGTGTACTAATAATTCAATTCATTCTAATTCATAAGTTTAGCTTTTGGATATTTTACTTCAATGCCAAAATCTTTCAAAACTTTATATACAGTCAAATACATTGTACAATGAGAAATTCAGCTGATCAGCTGAAATCACAGCACTTCAAAAACTCACAATATAATTTCACAAGTAAAATCGCAATAAATTTTGTTTTAATATTTATAACTTCAATAAATACACTCTTTAAAGATAAAATAATAATTTATTACTAAATATTTTAGGAATAAATAATATTGCAGCAAAATACATCTTGCAATTAAATGTAAAGGTTTAAGAGAATGTGGAATTAACTTGTTGAAATATGATATACATCACAGGAATTGGGAAAAAACAACAGTGAGTTTGTATTTTCTGAACCTACTTTATTAAATCACTTTTATAAAACGTTCTAACTTTACTTAAACTGTACATTAAGGTACAATATCTGAGTAATCATAAATTTTTATTGTTGTTAATTGTGCAAAATAAATATGTTACAAATATTGATTTTGGTGTTTTATTGTATTTTACAAATATTTTAAAATTTAACTTTTCCTGCTACAAAAAAATGTTTTAATTTAAGAAACAAATCAATTTTGCTTATCACTGGTGAAGGGCAAATATAAACACTTATAATATACACATGTACTAATAACTTATATCCTAAAATTCTAGAAAATATTTCTCATTTTGCTAATGTGTCATAATATTAATATAAATGTGCTAGGTGCATATTGAATTATATAACTACTTCTACAAATTTTTATGATACATTTAATATTTGGAAGTAAACATATTATTTAATATTCATTGTCAAAGAAATTAATTGAAAATATACAAATCACTAATACACACCGAAACAAACAGAATAAATATCTAGCAAGTTCAACACACAGGTACATTTATGTTCATTATTGCATAAATGACAATGAAATATGATTATTTACATAAATGTGGCAATGAAGATCATCCCACACAAGGCACCAAAAATAAATATGAAAATACACCGTGAATTCTGCACAACACCATACATTTCTTTCTTTCACACTGTAACCACTCACACTGATTTCTTTTCAGTTTTTATTAGGACATATTAAGTGAATTCAAACCTCAAAATTCTCTCAGTGCACAGAACACTACATTTTGAGGTATCATGCAGAAGATATTCCATTGAAACAAAACAAAAAATACTTGTCTTGGATTTCTTTGGACCCTGATGTTCTGTTAATTCTCTCGGTGTTATACTTGTAAATAATCACATTAATGTTTAGAAAAGAAGGAAAGAATTTTAATGCATTAAGTTCAAATGCGATGTAGTCAATCATTATTAACAAGTGATTCTCAATAACCATTTTTAACTTATTTCATACAAGGACTGACTTGGGTTATAAATTAATTCTGAATGTTTTTTGTTTGTTTTTTTATTTTTAACACATCTTCCTTTAAAAATTCTTCACAGACTTGGACTCCAACCCAAATCTGACAGTTTTTCATTTAATACTATTATTAATTTAATACTAAGTCCCATGTATAATTACATTTGCGAATGATGAGTCAGGCTGGTCGTTACGTTCTTAATTCTTAATATAACAAAAATTTATGAATTTATGGTGGCGCCAAGAACAGTAACAATATTAATGACAACAACCATAACTGTAAGATAATGGTGTCCCAAATTCAAGATCATGTTTTAACCTTCAGTTTTGACATCTAATAGTAAAGTGCAAAACTGGTATTGGGGCAATTTTCACCATTTCACTCAGCTATAGATTTTTGAATTATGAAAATATTTCAAAATACTGAAACCATTTCAATATTATTTTCCTTCAATGTTACATTCTGTTCATTGAAAATCTCAAATTGAATTTTTACAATTCTTAAAGAAGTTTCTGTACCTTTGTGTTCTGTACCTTCACCTTCCCTTTAATGGACACATTTTTTGTAAAGAACATTTCCAACAATTTGAATTCAAAATTTATAAACGAGAATCAAAAAGCATGATCACTTACAGTCACAAGTATCCCCCTCCTTACGGTTGGCTTAAAGCTCCAGAAACTTTCATGCATTTAAAATCTGATCAAATATTGGATTATTTGCTTGAATGCTTTTTGACAGAAAAGTTTGTTTTTTTGGTATAACTATAAAAAATAATAATTATTCCACATCTTCCTAAGAAATATTGCAACCACCAATATCTGTTAATTTAAACTCCTGTTTACATGAATAGTATCTCGTTTTTTTATCTTAAAAATGGATTTATCAAAACAATATTCCCCTAGCTTCTGTTACTTTCTTTCTGGATATTTCATTCATAAATCTGCAATCTATTTTCTTTTTATCTATTTAGTATACTAATTGCCACAAAATTAGAAGAGTAACTTCATTTTTAACAAGTAACTGTCATGTAGTGAATTGAAGGTAGTAATTTCGCATCATGATATTGACCCTACAAATATTCCAAGAAAGCATTTCATAATAAGAATAAGTGCTGTTTCCAAAAAAAGTACAAAAAAACACTCTTATTTATCACCGACTTCACAAGGGAAAGCTCACACAACATTGGATGATTTACTACTTAACAATCCTAACACTAACTGGCAGTGATTGCACTCTTTACACATAACAATTCAAAAACATCATACTTACAGTAACAGTACACTTATGTACAAATAAAACATTGACCGAGATATATTTGCATTCACACATATATTTCTTCTATCTGAACAGACGAACGAGAACCATGATAGAGTCTGTAAAAGAGTTGAGGGCTTTTCGAAGAGTCTTTCCTCTGCAACAAAATGATCATGATGATATGTTGAAACGTTCTTCAGCATTGAAAAGATAAAGTTTTAAGGATAATTAAATTTGCATCAAAAGCAAAATAGGGTTTAAAGGATATTTTTGAAAATTACAATGGTCATCAGTTTGGGGTTATATTTTATAAAAACAAGAGAAATACTTTATAAAAGAAACAATTCAATAAAATCACTTTATTTCATTAACAAAAACATCTTCATGAAGTCCTGACTGTCAGTAATACTGCAAATTTTTCTCAACATTGCTCAAGCTTCCCACTGAATTTTGTCAACCATTTAAAGATTTTATAACGATTCTTTTTAGGTCTAAGAAAAATAGCAATATTTTAAAATTTTAAACAGTCAGTTACACAGTATAGGAAAGAAAAAAGGCCAAATTAGATTGTAAACGTATGTTGACAAAATCAAACATAATTATAGTTTCACAACAGAACTTTGATTACTCAAAGCATTTGCAGTGTTGAACTTTTACTTTCAAAACTAATTATTTTAATACAACAATTCTGCAATAAGGAAACTAATTTCAAAATATCTGTTTTGAAATTCAAATATGATCTTCTTAACAGAAATGTATAAATATATTCAAAGGGACTTATTAAGGGATTAAGAGCTGAAAAGAAATTTGCAATCTTTTTAATATTGAGATTAACAAAACCCAAGTGTCAAAAGAAAAAAAAAAGAAAAGAATATCAATTTGGAATTACAATTCAAACTCTTTCCCACAACAAAAGTTTTGATCATCATTGATGTACCTAACTTAAAATCTTATTTGCATTTATTTTGTGTATATTTTTATCAATACACAATGCATTACTAATAATTCTCATTTTAATTTCAAAGAAAATATTGCCAAAGAACACTGATAGAAAGCAACTCTTCAAAAATCCAAACTTTCACAGATTAAATTCTAAATAATATATGATATTTATGTAATTATGAGAATGAAATATCCACTGCTAGGCAGTGTCATTCCCACATAAGCAACAAATATTTCTAACTCATAGTATCAATGAAAATTGCTACATGTATGAGCTGAACAATCTGATTTTTCTCACCAAACATCCCATTTACAAAGAATGGTAACTACAATATGAGTTTCACTTTTTGCAAACTAGTATTAATAAAAGCACTACATGACAGAATGTCAGAATATATAATGCACAGAAGAAAAAAACAAAGTCATTAAAAATTTGTCTGCAAAGTTTCCTTATATACATTACACCTGTAGTCATGATACAAAATACTTAAACATCAATAGTATTAACACATTTAAACAGAAACAGGAATAGTTTGAAAAAACATAACAAAATTGAAGTATAAATATAACTTAACCAACCAACCAAAATTCTTCAACATTTATCTATAAACTCATTTTACAAAAGTATATGTACAATATGCAATTGTCCAAAGGAAGACAAATATTTTTATAAGAAGATAACTTTTCATAATTTTTCTCAGCTAGTCTGTACAAAACAAAACTGGACAGTTTTACATTCAGTCACCAATTGTGTTACATAACTGTTATCACATTTCTCTTTCATGACATAAGAAAAAAATAAAAACATACAAAATTAAATATTACACTTAAACATTTCAAGAGCATTTAGAGCAAAAGAAATATAAACTCTTTTGAAATATAATGCACATATTTATACTTATAATTTTTTTGACATATTAACAAAACCTTAGAAACATGCATCACATGGACAAAAATTTTAAAAGAAAAATGTAAATATCACAGCAATCTGCTCATTTACTCTTTACCAAACACTGGTTACAATTTAATGTTTTACTTTAGATTTTTTTCGCTTCTTCTCTATAATAACAAAACTGTCTTCTGTAAAGGCTCTCAGTTTACCAAAACTTGTGGCTAGAGTTTTCAAAGAAGCTTTACCCCATTTCTTTCCTGTATCTGAACAAACTTTCCTACCCAATGAAGGAGATATTTTATGAGTTTTGATTGGTGACAAATGCGGTACTTTATTTTTTAAGAATTTTTCTGATTTGCAACTAGCCTTAACTTTAATATTTGAGCTTGGTCCAGGATTATTAATTTTTCCTGGTTTAGCACCTGATATTGAATTGGGATTTAAGGTTTTATGTACTAATTTACTCTTTGAATTTTGTCTGGTAGCTCTCAAAGGCACCACTTTTGGGTTATGCTCAGCCTCCCAAGGAGATTTTTCACTAGAGGAGGAAGCAACAGTATTTTCTGCAACAGATTCATTCAACATTGCTAATTTGGAAAACTTTTTCTTCTGCTTGCGTAAGTTTAAATAACAAATTTCTTTCAAAGATAATTTATTTGGTCCAATTTTCTGTGCAATATTTGCCTGTTGATCTGTCTTACTGGAAGAAACTTTTAATCGTTTTGGACCATGTTTAATAATTTCTTTTGATTCATCCTTAACATATTTAGCTTTTTCACTAGAAATGTTCCTTTCAGTTACAGTGGTAGCAGTATTGGTGTCACCAGATTGGTCAATAACAGCTTGTGTCCCTGTCGATTTGAAACCCTCACTATTAGTATGATCACTACTAATTTGAGTATCAGAAGTCACACACTTTACACAATGATTGAATGGAACCCTACGATTCTTCTGATGATTATTCCCACCAAAAGATGTCTTATTTATTTTCAAACCAGTAGTGCTCCTCACTTTGGAACTTCCAGAAAGAGCATTTACTGATGTGCATTTTGTTCTTACCGCTAAAACCTGTTTCAGCACTCCTACTCCAGTAACAGCTTTCAATTTCTTTGAAGAATTTGAAATTTTCTGTGATGAACTTGGACTGACATTTTCTTTTGGATTATTACTTTTATTTAACTTCATGTGCTTGGGAGTTTGAGGTGGAGATATAATTTGAAAACTTGTAACATTCTCTTTTCTATCAAAATCTATCCCACTGCTTGAACCTTCATCTTCAGATTTGGTGGTACTGTCAAGATTACAGTTGTTACTACAACCAGCAGCCTTAGCAGCTTTAGAAGCAAGAGGAGCAAGGCGGCGCTTCGTTTCATGCCTGCTGGGCTTACAACCACTTCCTGACGCACGAGCAGGCCGTGACATCCGCACAGAAGCTCCAGACAGACACACAACCTGGCAAAACAGGGAACTCATCGATTTTCTTTTTGGTCAAGATTTAAACTTCACTGTTACAAGGCAATTCAAAGAAAATTCTCTTGCAACATGCTTCTTGCAACAAATAAAAGAATTACTGATACGTGTGTGCTGTCAATACTGATTGCGTGCATAATAAAAGATAAGAAACATATAATAATTATTTTTCATGAAACTAACATACAATAATGTTCAAAAACATAGATTTCCACATGCTAACTACATTTAAATGAAAACATAAAAATGTGAGCAGATATAACATAATTTTTACTCTTTTAACATTTTTTATGCATTCAATGTATACTTCCATTAATGAAATAAACACACTTTGTACCATTACTTGTGAAGGAAATTTTACTCATAATCAGTACAAAATAAAACTACATAACCATGCATTAGCATAACATTTTCATAAGCTACACAGCTTGTTGAATTGTTTCTTGCTTCATGGTATTATTAATTTGAGAAATCTACACCCAACAAATGAATTTTACTCTTTAATTAAACTGAGATATGACTTAATGGTCACAATTACAATTTTTTTTCTTTTCTTTTGGCAATATATAATAAATACAGAATCTTATTTGCAGATATTAACAAACATCATTAATTTTTTAAAGAAGGGTTATATTTTCTAGAATACTGTTGGAATTAAATGTGCATTAACCATAGCAATACTTCAATAGTGCAAATGATTTATTATTTTTAATTTTTTCCATAGGGATGAGTTTCAACCTCCACTTTCTTACAAACTTCTTTTTCGGTGGCTTATACACACTTCGCTTTCTCAATAACTGTGCCTTCTGTCCCCCAATTGACATCTCGGACTTTCCCCTTGCTGTTGTGCTCTTTGCCAGATCTTTGTCCTCATTAGTTCCCTCTAGTTTTAAATCATTGCACACATTCATTTCCTCCCATCCTATCAATTTCTCCACTCCTTTGTAAATATTTTCTTTATTATCTGTTTCCTCATTCTCAGGATATGTCACTTTACAATAATCAAAAAGAGGCATCAACTGAAATACGGAAAATAAATTTTTAAATATTGTTTCACTGTAAATATAGTTAAAATTTTTGAATTTCAAGTCAGGAAAAGTTAACATTATTGAAATGAGGATAGAGGTTCATTCTTCAAGCAGGAGGTGGAGTGGTTGATGGGTAAGAATAAAGGAAAGGAATGCAGGTAAATGAAATAACTATCAAATACATATTATATTTAATTTCTCTCAATGCTTTCCAAACAGGAACATTTTGTTGATGCATAAAAAAACAATGATTCAACAAATGATGATTCAAAAAGTACAGATTATATTAAGGATAAAAAATATATTGTTTATTTTCAAATAATATCATATTGTTCATTTAGAACATTATTTATTATTTCTTTTTTGATCTTATCATACAATTCAATAGTAAATATTCAAAATGGCAAACAGCACCTGCAAAATAACCTGCCCTACAAAATAAAAAACCCATATGCACAACAATCAATTATTTTTTTTTTCTTTAAAATTTCTGTTTTGTATTACCCCAAGCATACACTATGGATATGACCTGAAAGTTTTATTTTTCTCAAATTAAATCTGATATATGAAACAATCTAAATTGCTCACTGCCTGAAGAAGAATCAGAATCCTTTTCAAAATAATAATCACACAAAAGAGTATTTGAGTCAAATATATTAATTTGCTCAAGATGGATACCTTTTGTGTTTATAACAAATTTGTTTAAAGAATAAATTTCAAAAACCAAATCAAGATGAAAATCAATGTTAAAAAGGAAAAGTAATTCAAAAGAATTATAATGCAAAACTGCTTCTCTTACCTGACGACGTGAATTTGAATGTCGATTATTGTGTTGCAGAGACTTATGTATGTACATCTGCTCAGGTACACAATTGGCCTTTAACCAGTCACGTATGCCATTGAGAGTGCGGAATTCAGAATTTGGTACTCGACTCCAAGGATGAGTACCAGTCAAATCCAGCACTGATGCACAAAGGGCTTGTCCTATCTGTTAGAAATACTCATTAATGTGAATGTGAAATATCTGTCATTAATGTGAATGTAATTTTTTTTATTATTATAATTACCTCTTCAAAGACGTGGGGTGTATATTTTGGAGGAACTAAGAGTGTTTGATTGGGTTTATGCAAATCCCGAACGCACGGAGGCACAATATTAACTAAGCGACCAGTGTTATAGTTGCATTCTAGAGTATAGCTCCGCACTAGTCCAGTTGCCTTCAATACTGAAACTCGCCCACATCCTTCTCGACTGCTACCATCTTTTCTATCTCTGTGGGAAAATAGGAAAGAAAAAAAATAATAAACATACTACAAGTATATATACTATATACATACTTATATACATACTATATACATAAACACACAATAGAAAATAAAATGAATTCCAGCAAACAATTAATCACAAATGAATCATCATTATTCAACCAATAGTTTATAAATCCATTAATTCAATTAGTCCAACAAATTTCCTGATCTTTAAATTTAAAGAATTTCTAGCAAACAACATCTCTAAAACTTGAATTCTCATCATAAAAAAAAAAAACAAGGTAAAAAAAGCCTACCAAGGCAGACATTCTGTGAAGAAATTCAATTAATTAATTGAAACATTCAAGTCCCCAGATTTTAGCCCTGGCAGTTATCTCATGTTTTGTAGGCATGGGGGCCCTCATTTAAAGATCCATCCTCTCTCTACTTGAAAATAACCCTCGACCATCTCTCTACATGATTTATAAGAATCAGAAAAACATTGCAAATGTTTTCTTTTAATTTACTGCACAGCAATTTAACATATCTAGAATACGCAAACTTTTTAAATAATTCTTTGCAAAATTGTGCAATAAAATTACCCTTTATTCGTGTTATGTAACATACAAGGAAATTCCAACAAACTGTATGCATTTACCTCCTAATACTCGTAGTTGAAGCAAACATGTTGATGGACAAGTATTTATTTATGCTTTACATTGCCATGCCCTGACCAGCCCTGCTATCTCAACCGAAAAAAATTACCATTATTATCATTATTATAATAATGGTAATAATGAAAACTATTATTATCGCCACCACCATAATTACTATTACTACTACTATAAGTATTACTACTATTACTAATTACTATTATCATTATTTATTATTACTATTATTATTTGGCTATTATTGTTAGTCTTTAGTTGTTACTATGATTATTATTATTATACCATTATTATTATTATTATTATTATTATTATTATTAATAATAAAATCACAACTTTTTTTATATCCTTCTATGCCGTTCCTCTTGGATGAGAATTTTTCTCGTGGCTATTAATCTTGATGGATAGAAATTCTGCGCTATGAATGAAACGCTAAAGCAAAAAATATTCCCACTTATACTGCGATTTATTTGTAGCTGCCTCTGATAGGTCATCAGCAGTTAAGTCGTCCAATCGGGAGCTCTCACGTCACTATGGTGGTTCAACCTTCCGATTGGATGACACCGTAACTGCTGATATACGAGGCAGCTCTAAATTAATCCAAGTAGAATCACTTTGATAATACACTCGTCGAGCAAATGAAAAAGCACGTACTTCCTCGCAATATTTGAAACGCTTACGTAATATGTAACAGGTATATGCATAAGTTTTTGCCGGTTTTTGCGGCAAAGAAAACACAATTTTTTTTTCAAGGGAAATTCATTTTTTTGTTTTTTCAAATTACTGGCCATTGGCTCCTACATACTCCGCCCATCTTTCAGGTATGTTCCGAATACCATGCCAGAAAAACTGCATGTCTTTTGCGGCAAACCATTCGCCGAAATCTCAAGGTGTGTTTCACTGGTTTTGCAGTATGACACGGTGCATTTGCCGTTAATTCAAAAAGGTGGGACTCATTTTCCGAGTTTATTGGCCTACCCCATCGTAGATGTCTGCTGATTGTTTCTTATGAAACATTTAATGCTTTTGCCAATTGCTGTTGAATTTGAGTTGGATCATCGTCCAATAACGCAACTGCTCGTCTTTCCACTTATGAGGCCTACCAGAACGCGCTTTGTCTTTCATATCGAATTCATCACGATTAGAAGTCGAAACCATGTTTCACATGTTTTAATCGCTGGAGTGTGTTCACTAGGGGCGAGTTACTATTTTATTAGCAATGCAGAAAATAAAATCTGCCGTTCGTTTACCGTTGCAAATAAGATTTCTATAACTCGGGAACGGAAATGTATAGTTTTTCAAACGTCGCTAATCACGGGCTTTTATTAAATTTTATTTTTATTTATCTTTACCTTTACTCATCTTTCAGCTATTTGTAGTTAAAATGATGGAATGAGATTCTGGAATTCAAGAAAAGTGCGCGGATTGTCTTCTCTCCCATACATCACTCAGGTTTTACTGTTTTTCGACTAAATAAATCTACAACACAGACGCTAGTGTTTGGCGGACTCAAACTTGTAGGTGTTGGTTGGTTACTGTCAGACGTAAAAACGAAAGTATCAAATTCATACGTGTACTGTTCGTTGGAGCCGTGAAACCGGAAAAGACTTATGCATACATACTTACATTGCAAGTTAATGTAGATGTAAGTTTTCAAACTTATGTTCTATGATTTGTAAACTTAAGAAAATTTAGGAAGTTAATTAATATTAAGAGAAACAATGAGAAGGGATCAAGATCAGTATATTCAACTGCCTCCGAGAACCTCTCAAAATACTTTCACAAAGTCCGGGAAATTCGAATTTACGATTTCGAACTTTTTTTCTTTTCCTTTCTTTCTTCTAGTGTTCCGTCTGTGGTCATTCACAGATCGATCTGAACGAACTCTTGAGTTTTGAGAGTTTCAAACAGATACTTTGCGGCTACTGTTCATGAAGACTCAAATCATTTCAAAATTTTTCCAAAATAGCTCTAATGTTTTTTATTAAACTTTGTCCTCGGGTAGTATAAAGGACGCTCAAGAGGATGGTACATGTCTCACGTTCGTTAAAATCCCAGATTTTTCAAAATGTGCAATTTCTTTTCGCGTTTTCGTACCACTATAACACTGAAGATTTTAGTTTATCACCTTAATGAAATGCGTTCGTTAAAGACAGATCTTGAAATACCTCAATCCTGAAATAAAAAATTTTCTTTTTTACGAAAATGAGAAAAAATATTTGCAGTTTTCGTGGGCATAATGCTTTGTGGGGAACGGGATATTTGTGATAAAACATTGAAAGATGGAACGCAGACGTTTGTGAAAGAAATGGAGTTGGAATATTTTGTTGAGGCCAGAAAGAGGCGGCGGGATAATAATTTTGTTTCGTTTAAATGTAACTCACAAACTGAAGTATAGGAGGCAATACTGAAAAGAAAAATTGTTTTCTGCTTACTGAAGAGCGCTCAAGAGGTGAATCACCTCAACTACGTTCGTCTATCCCTGACTTTGTTTTCAAAACTCATTGTTTAATTGGTGGAGAGAAGAAAAAACGAGACTTGGCGAAGAAACAAATCAAAAAGCTTATCTCACAAAGAGATCTAGTATACCCTGTTTGGAAATTAGCTTTTAGAGAAACTTGTACCACTCGCGAGATATCGTAATGATTTTGGACGTTATATAGTAAGTATATTGCGTAGAGACAGAAAATGTTTAGTCAGCTGCTAATGCACATACCTATTTGATATGCATGATCTCCCCCCCCCCCCGAAGAAGACCAGAAAAAATCCTAGGCTATGCATCGATAATATAGAACCAGCTATACAAAATATTTTTAGTTTTCTTGGAAAGAGGAACAAGGAATACCGATTTACCATTGAAGAATTGATAAAAGTGATTGCAGGAGACTTTCTTCATCCAAAAATTGTTGAAGCACATTTACCTTATCTTGTATGTTTCAAGGATTTAGGGATACTCCGCGTGAGAAAATACGTCCTTACTGATTCCGTGAATATCGAAGTGTCAATAATTTAACAATGCGAACTCTTCATTCACAATAGCTGTTTTCAGACGTGATAAAGTGAAACTAGAGCGCCGTCGGGAAATACGATGGGTGGAAAGAGCAATTCTCCCGTTTTGGCCAGAGGCCGAAAAAGTAACCATTTTCCAGCTCGCTCTAGCGCCACAACAGTTTCTCACAAATTTTAAGTTGATGTACGTATTTTGTAGGAAATTTTATCCACTTTAATTTTTTTAAATAATTGTTTCGATAAAACGCGTAGTTTCAAAGATAGGCTTTTTGAAGTGGCAAACATCAAATTCGAATTCAGCACCCTTAAAATCTTATAGATCTGTTAAGAACAAAACTTCCGGATTTTTTTCCGGGCAGGGGCCTTTGAGCACCAATTGACTGGAGTAATACCCTCCAAGACGAATTGAAGACCCTCATATCGGACACGGTGATAGCGCCGGCGAGCTTATGACGGCCGCAGGGCCTGTAGCGGCGCGCGGCGATTTCCGGGCAGCGGCAGACAGCGAGGTCACGGCGCATTCTCACAAAAACACGTCTTACTATTCATCATAGCACTTAAAAACTGGCCTCTATGTATTTTGTACGATGGTGAACAAGGGGGTAAAATTTCATGGCAATCCGAGTATCCAGCACGGTGAGTGTTTCCTGAAAGAAGGCACCAGTTTGACAGGTTATTATTTTTTTTATTTAATTTTTGTTAAAAACAAACTGTGTGACGGGGACAAGTGCATTCTGTGCACGTTTTTTAATTCTGGGATCCCTACCCTAAGCAAAAATACAATTTGAATTCTGAATACAGATACATGAGTTTTGGCAAAAATTGTTAACAAACTATTAGCTCCGATATAAAAAAAATATATTTTCAAGGGCAAATCAGATACAGATTTGGGCTCTTCTCCCTCACTCAACGTCCTCCGTGAAGAATTATACTTCCTGCCGCGACAACGCGGAGAACAATAATTTGAATAACTCCATTTCGCACTGAACTCTAGAAGACGAGCACAGATGATCAAGTAACATTTATGTCCACAACGACAACCAGTGGCCTACTCAGCACTTGCAAGGTCCAGGGAAATGACGAAAAACCTGATCGAGATGTAGGCCGTAGGCAAGATCGGAAACAAATGAACATTATGTCGGATAACGGCATTGCAAGAGTTAGTGTCGAAGCCTAAATTAAGTTCATTATGTAACGCATTCAAAATTCTTTAAAATTCTGTTAGCCTTCATGCAGCTTGTTGTATTTTGCAAAAATGCCATATCTCAGGCAGGAATGTACAATATTCTGGGGAAGCTCATCCTGTAGTATCCATACCTTGAGATTGCAGGGGAAAAAATCGAATAAT